AAATTTGATTATTGTATTATAATTATCTCTGCAGTTATACACAACTACCTATTACCATTGCTTGCTAAAATAATTGACCGCTACGGCTATGGTTGGTGTAATTTTGCCTGTGGGTGTTCGCGAACGCTGCGTTTTGTTATCAACTTGTTCAGTGTCTGTTTGCAATTACAAATTACAAAAACTGTATCTGTGAATTACTAGATGTAAACAATATGTAAATTTTGCATGATCTCTAACGTAAATTTTCGGCAAAATTAGTTACGTATATATAATTACGTATATACAATTATATTATAATTATATTATAATTAGAGAAATCTTTATAATGATTAAATAGAGCAATCTATGAACGCCTGTTGTCTTTTATAAATTCAAATAAATTTATCAATTTAACAAATTAACGTTTATGTAATAATAATAATAATAATAATTCACATTAAATAACTATTCTACATATTTATTTGTTTAATTTTTTTTCCTTTTCTCTTTATTTCAAGTAATTTTCAGAGAAGTCTATTTCAAGAAGTTTTCACTTAGATATTCCTAGAATAGCTTTTTGAAAAAATTCAATCAACCTCTTTTGTCCAATTTTCCGATCTGAACCAATACCAATAAATGCAATAAAGAAAATAGTAATATAACTACGATAACTTACCTCGACTGAATTGCTCGTAACTGGCAATTACCCTCTCAGCATTCTTTCTTGCAATGTAGAACCACTCGCTGCTATTGCTCAAGTACTTGTACTGGATTGCGAGATCCTTCACGAGGACGCCATCCTGATTGGGCAGTCGGTGAGCGAACGGACAGTATAACCACCGATCCCGATACTGTAACTTGTCGTAACAATTGCCGGCGGCGAAGATATCTTCGTCAAACTCGACCATGGAGAGAACGCTCGCGTGTAATAGATATTCTGAGGACAGCATTACTTCCGGCGCGTACTTCCAGAGCCTGGTAAGCATGTTGGCACGATTGACTGCGAATTCTGCCTCTAGTCTAAACCTCTCCTGCGCATATTGGTCCACCACGCCTTCGCCGAGGTTTAAATCAGTGCCTGCGGTGCAGTTCTCACCCAAAGTATGCTGGTTCTCGATAATTCGCAAGAAACGCGTCACGATGTCGACTTGGGGTCGACTCTTGCGAACCAACTCGGGCGATGAAGTGTTCGTCGGTTCTTCGTAACTTGTGTCCAACACCACATCTTGCGAAATCTCCTCCTCGAGGTCACGGGTGGATTCGCTGGTATCCTCGAGCGCATCGATACCGAGTGTCTCCGTTGTGTTATGGTCTATCGCAGCTGCTGGCACAACGGTCCTATTTAAGGATATTGCCTTCCTCAATTTACTAAGGGCGTCATCTTTGTAAGAGCTCTTGAGGGAATCGGGATTCGATCGCAAAATACCGTGGTTCTCAGAATAATGCACTTTGAGTATATCTTGAAGATCTTTCGCAGTCTCATCGTTGATCTGATCCGAAGACCGGATGTTCGTATTATCTTTGGAAATATTCTGTTCAATCATCCAGGAAAGATTACGCGTGAGAGGAATAGCGGAATTTTCTTCAGCAACGTTTCCTTTCTTTCCCTGATACAATTTGAGTAAACTTTCCAGCCCTTCTGAAACATTATTCTCAATTTGATCGAGAGATTGGCTGTTGACCGAGTTATCCTTTGAGAAATTTTGTTCAAGAAGCCAAGAATGATTACGTTTCGGTGAAACGGATCCTTCCAGAAAATCACTCACTTTTTCCACTTGACGCGTCTTGAAGTGATTCTCATGATCCTCGCGAATGTCGGTTCTGATCCTATTTGCCGCATCCTTCGAACTATCCCTCGCAGAATCTTCTATCTTCTGCCGCGCGAAATGGCTCCTGGATCTTCCGTGACGGATCTGCGATCTTTCGATACTCGACATATCCGTCTGCTCGATCTCCGTCCAGAGAATCTCCATCGGTCGGATCTCTGTCGGCGAAACTTCCTCCATGGAATGACGATCCTTCGTTTGCGATCGCGTTTCCGCAGAGCGGATTCTTGTGGCTCGCTCTCCCGCAACTTCCGCAGCAAGTTCAGCTGAGGAGGCACGAACTTTCCCGGCGTCGAGGGCGATTTCCGCGGAGTGACGTGCTGACGTCGACGAAAGAATCTTTGCCGAACGTATCGCTACAGTGCGACGGCTCTCCGTCGGGCGCGTTTCCACAATTCCGTCGAGATTCTCCAAAGTCGAGCGTATTTCCGTAGGATACTCTTCCGCACGTAAACGATTTTCATACGCGAAATGGATCTCCGTCGGCCGGAAGTGGTTCATAGGGCGATCTCGCGCGATTATGGGACGGATTTCCGCGCGATGATATTCCGAAGGATGATTCAGCATCTCCGCCGCTTCCGCGTCTGAACGTGCGATTTCCGCGTTCGGATGAATAATCATCGAGCGGGTCTCAACGGCGCGAAATTCCGTCGAGTCGACGAGCTTGCGGTCGACAAAGGTCGTCGAGCGATGGTTCAATTGATGCCGCAAGTACTCCTTTGACTTTTCGATTTCAGGGACCTTCTCGTGGTGGCTGGCGAGGGAATCTTGCGTGAACGTGAGCAAGATGAGCGCGCACCAGATGCCTGACGCACTCATCTTCAGCCGCTCATCTTCCCGTTCGCTTGTTACATCCACCCGCGATGGCACGTTTCCTCGAGCCTAATCGATCTCAATCCCGACATCTCCACGACGTGATTATCATTCGCATGTAGCAGCGGCTTGCAACAGCTGCTTTCGATAACGTGACATGCTTGATACATTAGTGAGCATTATATATTTCTTGAGATCAATTTAACACTCTCCTCTTCGCCGCAATTAATTTCAACGTCTCCATAAAATGATCGTCATCCATCTCTCCTTGACAACATATATGATTATATTATGATTTCTCTCGAGATTAACGTAATTTCAAACATTACTTACAAACTTGGATATCAATTTCTCGCAAGTTGTATTTATAATACCTTTGCTTCTAATTACGATATATTAATAATGCGATATTTTATAAGATCTCATTGAAGATTAATATTTTAATATAATGACTCTTGAATTTCTCTTGAATTTCTGGTCCTCAATTTAAATTCTATTGCCAACGAGAATAGTTCTCTAACATCTTCGCAATTTTGCAGCTTTTTCCTTACAGTATTTAACAGATCTCAGTGTTGAGTAGCATCTTCAGAATCTCTGCGCAATCTTACATCTCTCCAGACATTATAGTCCTTAATGAATGATATTCTCTTAATAGACTCGATTCTTAATTGCTCCTCTCGGTATCTCCACAATCAACTTATCTTCCTCCCGAAACTAGCACTATTTCAATGTTTATTTTTCTTACCATCGAAACTCACGACCACAACTTCGACGGTGGATATCCCGCGGTAAATCGATCTGTCGGTGATCCGTTCTCGTTGCTCTTGAGATTAGACCGTGCGTAAAGTGTTTTTGCGCGGGTTACTAATCGAGAAGTCTTCCACTTCCCCGTTCTCTCTGAGCGGTAATCCGATTTCCACGCAGATACGCCTCAGTCGATTTTTGCGCAGCTCATATAGATCAAAGTTTTGCGGAGGGCCAATTCCAGAGTTAATGCATTATTGGATCGATATCGATCGCGAATATGAAAAACGTTCAAAGCCGAAACTTGAAAGCCTTATACTCGAGAACGTTACATTGATTTAATTTATCAAACCGATCTCCGAACGCGGCCATATCGTTATGATTGATCGACAATTTCATCGAGTATAATTATCGCGCAATCGCTACCGTTCAGAGCGATAAAATTTCTTCGTTCTCCATTGATTCTGATATGATTCCGTTTCTTCGTTAGTAATTTCATACAAGTGCAAAGTGTAATTAATTTCCACTGACCTGATACCGTCCTGATTTGTCCTTTTCAATTCCGATTTTGTGATTCACGCACATCATCATAGATCATGACACACTCACATATCGTATGTTCCTGCACGACAAATCTGTTGTGGTGGTGAGAAGTACAGGCGTTCGCGATGTATTGACGGTATTTTAACAGAAAATTCGAACGCGGCAAAATTGTCTACAGGCACCTGTCGCCGTTTTGATCCACTAGCGATTAATGATAGTGTTGACGTTCCAAACATCGTTGTACGCCTAATTGTTATAGAGTATACATGTATTTATTCGTTCCATTACTCAACTGTTTCCTTGCTTATATGTTCATTTGTTTGGCGAACAATCATAATCGTTTACATAACGCGTGCTTGCATATATTCTGTGTAATTAAGTGGACAAGTTAAGTGGATAGAACCGTAAAACGCGCATATACTTTCTCCATCAATTTTAATCATAAATTATTTCTGCGCTTTCGGTAACGGCGTTAAACATCGATAAAATTTAAATGCGAAATGCGAGCAAGAATACACAAACGCGTATTGCCATAACAATAAATCATACAAATTAAATGTGCCTTCAATTATAATCATCAATTTTCGCGAAAATATTGAGAGTTAGCACAATATTTCCATGATTTCAGAAATAATGTCCATGCAAAATTGACGTTAAAAGTTGCATATAATTCAATTTCTATTAATGAAAATTAAATCCACAATGGCATATTATTCCGTAATTATGTAAATTAACAACTTTCCTTTGAAGTATACTCGAGGCTTGATTATAGATTAACTAATATGATCTTTCGATAAATGCTCCGCGGTTTTATATAGAATTTCACTCATAATCAGCTAAATATTGAAGACCATAAAAATTTCATTTACAAATAGAATATCGCATTTTAATCGATCAAATAAATAATCTTTTTAAGAGAATTACCCCCCCTCTCTCTCTCTCTCTCTCTCTCTCTCTTCTCTATAATATCAGATAATTAATTTGGCTTCGGCAATCTTCTCAAATTTTCTCTTATTTTTTCGTGAATAAAAAAGCATAAAAATACAGAAGATAAACATAAAGATTGCAAGAATTTAACCTGTTTTCAAAATAAAGAAACACGAAAGGAATTTCTTTATAATTTTAATACTTTCAAAATACTAAAAAGCTGTGATAATTATCTTGATAATCAATTCTTCAAATTGTCTTTAAAATTCGATTTACAAAGCCGCATTGTCTTTTCGGATTAAAAATTGTTCCAAAATGCATTCATTTTTAAAAATCTGATAACAGTTAATCCTATTCTTTCTATTACAACAAATTGAATCGTGTCACATTCGATCTATTTTTTAAATTAAAGAATGGAAATTTCAAAAACGAACTTCTAACGCTACTTTTTAATTAATTTGATCATAATATATCCTATAGAATTTCATTTTAAACTGACGTTATTAATCATTTTCGAACAATTATACATGAATCGGTCATCTGTCATAAATGTTCGAGATTGATAATCGGATTAACGGACGTGTATCGATATAGTTCTTGCAATCGCAATCGCACGAATTGAACTACGTGTAATCTCCTTGTAATCTCGTATCTCCTAAATAAAAAAAAAAAAATCGCGTGCGATCCACCTTACAGCAGAAAATCTCTGACGGCGTGATTTCTTTCTTTCGCGTTTCTCGATCGGGCTCTCTTATCTAGTTTCAAGTTGGATCGACGGATCGAATGTGCAGACCCGACCTGCGGGCGATCATTTTACGATGATTCCCTGGAAGAACAACGAACTTTCTCTCTCAGTTTCCCCAATTCTGCTCCCTTTCGCGCGCGCGAGTCGGCGATCGCGACAGATCTGTATGCGCTCGCACGCGGCGTCAAACTGACGACGAGGGTTGGGAAACCCGCCACCCTTCGTGCCAACCAATGTGTGAATGCAGGGCGCATGATCTCTACCCCTCTCTCTCTCTCTCTCTCTCGCAACGAGCGATGCAACGAGCCTCACTCGCGCCGGCATCCCGACGCTCTTCCGTCGCTTAATCTAGATCTTAATCTTCATCTTCGGTACGCCATCTCCGTGCCGTTTTATGCTTCCTAATAGGACGTACGAATGGAGCTCCTGCCTCCATCCATTCCGCCGTGGCTGAGAAACGTGCAGTTACAAAATATATGCTCATATAGAATGTGCCGCGTTTTTGAAAATTTAACGTAACGTTTCAACGTTCAGGAACTTTTAACATTCTCCACACGTTACACGTTTTATTACATCTACGCCCAAAATGAAATTATTCTAAGAATAAATTTTGTTTATTCGATGGCAGCTACGAAATGTAATTTTCAAAAATTAGAATTATTTTGTTTTGAATGACGCTCCATTTGCGTCTATCCCCGATATTATGCAAGAGAAAAATGATTGAAGTTAGTTAAATAAAAAAAGTGCGAAGACACGAAACATCCTATATTATGTATCTATTGTTTGAAGGACTTGATGTTTCTCCTTTAAACGCAAAAGATAAAGATGGTCATCACAACGTAAATATATAGTTACATTTATCGAGTAACAACTTTTTTTTATTTAAAAAAAATTAATGAAAATTTGTTATTTGTGAAAACAAGACCGCTTCGATAAAACTAAAGTTCTTGTAAAACTCGCTTCGGAAATGTTTGCACTGAAAATATATATCTATTTTACGAATTTCTATATTTCGTTTGTAATATAATTTAATGACACGATTATTTATTTACTTTTGTAAAAAGATAACTAACGCTGTTATTTGTTTTAAAAGAATTATATCCATTTTACATTTTCTCTTGACTGGTCAATAATTCTATCCAACGAATTTTAAAATTACAATGCTATTCTTATCTTCAGTTATTTTCTGATGTATATATTAATTTATGTTTAATCATTGATTTTGTCTTGATATATTTTTAATATAACATTATCTGCTTGTATTTTCTTCCATACATATAAAATACTTCATATATATAAATATATATATTGCTGTATAAATGTAAATCTTTAAAATATATCTTTAAAATATAAAAAAATACGAAAATCAAAAATTATAAACGTATATCAATATTTATACATTAAAAAATAATTAAAAATAAGTATCGTGTTTATATGTTCTTACTTTGAGGAAACAATCTCTTTTATCTCTACTATCGAGTATTAATATCATCTTTATTCATTTGACCCGATTTTCGCCTGTTATGATTCATCTCGTTTTATTCCGTATCGTAAATATTTGAGAGGTTCGAAAGGTAATATGGTGAATGTATACACACATACAGATATGTATATACACACACACACACACACACACACACACACACACACACACACACACACACACACGCGCACACACACACACACACACACACACACACACACACACACACACACACACACACACACACACACACATATATATATATATATATAAAAGCCTAATATTAAACTTTTAGGAATGACTAATATTAAGCTTATTAAGCTTATTAAGCTTATTAAGCTTGAAAAGCACGAGTCAATAAACTTCAATTCCAAATATAATCTATAACCACATAATTATATCGTGGTAAAGGAAATAATCGCGGTAATTAAGGTAAACAAATTAGGTAAGCCAATTTAAACAATTAAAAATGTTGCATTAATCACAGCTGTAAAAGAGAAAAAAGAAAGAAGAAACTTAGACATTTTGTTCTATGATTTATACGAAAATTTCAACGAGATTTAT